GATTATTTTATATATTTGCTGTTTTATTTGATTATTGTACGCCACCCAGAGTCACTTCTTGTGAGATGGACAGCCATATAAATTTGATAGATACAGACAGACAGAGTAGAGTAGAGTAGAGTAGAGTAGAGTAGAGTAGAATAGAGTAGACTGGAAACCTGATACATGACAAATGAAAGGTAATTATTTTGGTAGGAAAACATTGTTAAAACATGTTGGGATCATGGAAATAGATTGCATACAGGTATGGAGGGACTACAGGTAGTCCTTGCTTAGCGAACCCAATTGAGACCAGCATCTCGGTTGTTAAACGAAGTGGTTGCTAAGTGAAACCATGACTGTGTTTATGATCTTGCTTCAGCTTTCCTTCACTGTATAGACCTGCAAAGGTCATAAATGCGAGGACTGGTCGCAAAGTTACTTTTTCAGCACCATCGTAACTGCAAATGGTCACTAAACAAGGCAGTTGCTAAACAAGAACTTCCTGTATGTAGTTTGAATAAGCTGATTCGTTCTCCAACACATCCAATGATCAATTGATCCACAGAAGCATCGGACATGGAAATGAACTTTTTAAAATAATATACCCTGGCTTCTGGCATTACCAGCCAAGAGAAATCTTGGCAACTGCTCATCATCTATAATGTGATACTAATACAGGCTTACTTTATAGGGTTGTTGTGCCAATTATTAAATGGATGTATTCATATATGTAACAGCAAGTATTGTTCTTTCTTTCTTGCAGGAAGGAGCAGAAGAAGATGTTCTTCATTATCCATCTACAAGTTTGCCAGACTTAATTAGTACTTGTTCTGCTCAGGATACGGTCCCCTGGATTGACAATAAGGAGAATGAAGCGCCGGAAGAGGAGGATGTCAAAGGAAAAGCCCTGGAGTCAGGAGTCCTGGACCCTGTAAGTATGACCTTGCACAGGAAGCCATACTGGGCTACTTCCTGCCCAGCTCAGCTTTGCATAGCTAAAAAATCTGACTTGGGCTGGTCTCAAAAAGCAAAAAGTTGAAAACAGTTAGTACTTGGCTGTTTGTACCACCCAGGGTTCTAGGCTAAACTGGGAAGTTGAAAAACACTCTGGAAGAAGACAGTGACAAATCATTTTTGTAGTGTTGCCAACAAAGCTACATAGATGCGTTCTTGACATCAGAAGGAGGAGGATGCTTTTCTTTTCAAGTCAGTTCCTCTCTTTTTAAAAGAACAGGCAAATTTTATTTATGTACATATACGTGTTCTTGAATATATGCATTTTGTCTGCATTTATGGAGCCTTCTATCACAAAATAGAGATAAATTTGCATATTAATTCAGGAAATGTGAATGAAGTCAGTTTGCTTAAAAATGCAACTCAAATGACATTTGCCACTTCCCTGGGATACTGTTTTGAACAAATATTGATTAACAAGTTGGTCATCTCCTTTAGCAGTTGTAGCTGCTTTAGAGGTGTGTCAGAGAATCATGTTTCTTCAGTAAGACTATCATTGCAACTTACTAAAAAACCAATTCAGACATAGTGCTCTTTGTTAAATAAACCATAATGGCTTATTGGATCAAGATTGAGAGTGGTGCCCATGTGCTCTCATTTGTGCACCATAATGAAAAATGGCCAGCATCAACCACAGTTTTCTCTTACAAAAGAAACTGATTTAATTTGACCAGGAAGAGGGAGGGAGCAGATAAACACAATTCCATCTCAGTCCACTTAGATGAACTTTTATTGATTTGCAGCGATTGGACTTAAATGTATCACTCTGTTACTTTCATATTTCATATTATTTTAGCCACACTCCCAACAGACTCCTTGTGGTCTCTATGGAAGATGATATTGTACTTTATATAAATAAGTCATTTCCTTTCTCAGCTTCTTTGTACCTCATTCTTTGTGCAATATATTGATTCTGGATCTGATGGTGATGGCTATTTTAATGATTTATTTATCAATCACCATTTGGGGCTTTCCAGTTTGAGATAAATATTGTAGAAATCCCTGCTCCAAAAAATTAAAATGGACCTAGGAAGGTATGGAAGTCCCCACTTGATCAGATTGGAAGCCTGTCTGGTCCAACGTCCTCTTTCAACTCTTTCAAGTTACTACTGCAATTGGGACCAGGATTGCCGTTACTAAGTGATGTGACTGTAAAATGTGATGCCACATAGACCAAATAGCTTAGTGATGGCAATCCAGGCAGTCCCGGTTGTTGTCGTAACCCAAGATGCGTGGGTTGTTAAGTGGGAAGCAGAGGGAGTTTCAGGTAAGGAGCACGGGGGTGCCACAGGGGGGTGGGGAGACACTGGAAGGCCTGGCGCAGGCCGTGTGTGAGTCGGGAAGGGGTGCTTAGTGCGGTGCAAGCTCAGAAAGGCCAGGGAATGAGGGCACAGGGTCCATGTGATTCCAGGGTGGCCATGGAAAGAGGGCACAGGGTGTGTACATTCGATCAGAGGGAGGCTGTGGAAAGAGCATGCGGGGTGCTTGCTTGCATGTGTGTGATCACAGGGAGAATGTAGAAAGAGGACGTGGGTTGCGTGTGTGTGTGTGCAAGTGCAGGGGGGCTGGGGATAGAGGGCACAGTTGTGTGCAAGCGAAGGGGGGAAGGAGGACACTGTGTGTGCAGGTAGAGAAAGGCATTTGAGTGGGAGACTTACCCCAGCAACTTGTGACTTTCCTTGCTGGCTTCCCATTAACTTTGCTTGGGGGAAGCCGGCAGGAAATGTTGTAAATAACGATCATGTGATTGTGGGGTGCTTAGCAACCGGTCATAAGTGTGAATGGGTTGCCAAGCCCCCAGATCACGATCATGGGTGCTTGGATCAGGGGTGCTTGGATGGCCACAACTTTGAGGACCAGTTGTAAGTCTCCTTTTTCAGCACCATCATAACTTCAAACGGTTGCTGAATGAATGGTCATAACTCAAGGACTACCTGTAATATTTAATTGCCTATGGGTATTCCAAGTTCCAAGCAAGGGAGTATGGGCAGAATCACATAAGGGAGCAGGACATCTTTGGGCAACTGAAGAGGTTAGAACTGGAGGACAAAAAATATCTAACAAGAGAGGAATAAATTAGGACAAGGAATCTAGCTTTATTTATATTAACCATATTGGCCATCTATTTGTAGGGTTGAGCATGCTTGGAAAATGATCAGAAGAGGTGCTTGGTACTTGTGCAATCATGTTTCTGCTACCCATTAAACAGACGCATCTTTTTTCAGGCTTCTTTAAGAGTCACATTAAAAACACAGATCAACACCTTAAAGGAGCTGCATCATTTTTCACACTTGTACAGAAACCTGAAAAAAAAGGTAGCTGCTTTAATGAGCAGTTGAGAGTTGCTGGGCTTGCACAAGTTTCAAAGCTTTTCCTCCTAATCATTTTTTCAGTGTACAGAGTGCTGGCTCTGGTGCAGAATATAGAAGGTTTTAAAGGTTAGCATGTGTTAGATTTCAGAGAGGTCAGGTGACTAGTATAAGAATTTAAGGATAGGAGACATGGTTTGAACAATAAGGTAAGTGAATTAATTTACTATGCAGCATCCACCTATCTCCCCGCATCTCTGACCTTTTGGCTACCTGCCTACCCACTGCCTGGCCCTGCCCACCACACCACATGCCACTACTGTACCAGCTGGGTCCTTCTTTCACAAAAGAAGGCCCTAGCCACTGCACGAAAGGAAGCCCTGGCCAGTGTGCAAAAGGAGCCCCTGGCTGGTACACAACAGGAGGCCCCAGCTGCACCAGCATGAAAGAAGGGAGCATGAAAGAAGGCCCTGGCCAGTACAGTAGTGGCGCATGGTGTGGCAGGTGTGGTGGCAATGGGCAGGGCCAGACAGTTGGGACAGCTGATAGCAGCAGGTAGGAGGGTGGCCAACAGGTGATCATAAATGTGGGCAGGCCTGAATTTTTTTCATGTGATCACAGGGGCACTGCAATGGCCAGAACTTTGAGGACCGGTCATAAGTCCCTTTGTTCAGTGCCATCGTAACTTCAAATGGTTGCAGAATGAATGGATGTTAAACTAGGACTACCTGTATAGCAATAACAGCAAAATGTTCTGTTTGCATTTATGTTATGTTTCCTCCACTGTTATTCTTTCTCACATGAAAATTTCTGTTGCATATCATTCTTTTCTTAGCTCTGCTTGTCTAATAAGTTTTTGTCAGAGACATGAAAGATCTCTCTGTGATGGTATGAAGGGTAAATGACAGAAGCCTTCATGTTGAAAAGCAGTTTACTCCAGAATGTCTTATGCTAGTGATAAACAGCAGGAGATATTGTTGTGTACCTGTTTGGTTGATTTATTCTCCAAGAGCTCCTTCACTTTTCCTACATAAACAACTCTGTGGAGCAGGTTGAACTGAGGAGTGACGACTGACCCAAAATCACTAGTGAACCTCCATGGCAAGGGTCATGTTGGACCTGAGACTTCCAAGAACTTCTTATGAGCTTCCTAGATATATTTGTTTAGTTACTGTTGGAGATACAGTGCTGAATTAGCTGGATCTTTTATCTAATGCCCTAAGTTTCCTATCACTTGATGATGCTATTTAAAATATTTTTCTTCACATTAATTCCAATGTGTAATGACTTATGTTTCAGTCAGACAATGGAATTATGATGCTAAATTATGATTTAGGAATTCAACAAGTGAAGCAAGGGGACATTTGTGATCACTGCTGTTTATATGGAATCTGAAGATATGAAAAATGTCTTATACTACATAGGCAGTGTAAGATCTGATTTAAAGTGGCTGAATGAACTGTGTGAGAAAGAGTGCCTGTCAATTTAAAGGTGGGACAGGCATGCTAGAAAGGGGGCAAGAAAGTCAAGGTTGTCACACCCAGAAATTCAACACTGGGGCAAGAAGAAATTATGGATGTTGGAGAACTAAGAATTGGGCTAAACTCGGGCATCCCCTAGGCCAGCAACTACTTTCTGTGTTTTAGTAGAACCCAATACATGGCAATATCCAGTCCAAGTTTTCCCCAATTTTTGTTTCAGGAGCCTGATTTAAATAACTAAGACACATTGCCAATTTACTGCAGATTATCATAATGTTATCTCCACCATTAGGCAACAAATTTTGGATGCCTTTAAAAATCAGTAAATCTTACTTATTAATGTGTATTTTGAAGCATCAGTTGTTTGTGGGATTTTCTAATTTGGTTCTCCCAGGCTAGCTTGACCCTGTGACTTGAGGTTCTCCTATCCTCCAAATGTTTTGGATTTCAGTTACTGAAACTCTTAACCAACATGGCATTTGACCATCTAGTATAACTTTGCAAACCATGGGGGCATATTTTCAAAACGAATCATATGAATAATCAGTCCTGGAGCTCTAATCTACTGATGGAAAGCTCTGATCACAAAACGATCATATGAAAACCACATTTTCCTCCCATGTGAGAGCTGCAAAAAGTACAGTAAGATGTGAAAATTCTGAGATATACATCTGTAATCTAACACTGTCTTAAAATAGCAAGCATTCATTTATACAAAAGGGAAAGAGTTTTGCTGGGTAGTTTACATTCTACAGGAATCAGTTGTATTATATGTTAACCTTCCCCAAACCCCTTTCACTGAACAGACTGGATTTTTAAAATTATTTCTAATTCTCTGTGTTTGTCTCTCTCTTTGTATATTCAGCACTGTAAAAAATCCAGTATGGAATTAATTATGTGGGGTGATGCTTAGTACAAGCTTTTAGTAAGTAAGATTTCTGTACTTTGAATGAAGCTGCCCAACGGGGATTTTCTTGTGTAATTTACGGAGGTTAGGGTCTTCATGAAATGCAACCAATTATATAGTGATCTCTCATAGTTTGCCATTTTGGAGGGGGAATGTTATGATGGGCTCAGCCAGGCTTTTCATCTGAGAATCTCAATAAATACAAGAAGTTGTCATTTTC